ATAGATCTTTTCTTCAGTAATAAATCACAACACATAACAGGCAATTTCAAATAATTACGTTTATGGAGTATCATTATTTGACATTTCCCAAAGGAGCAACAACTACTAACACGTATGAACTAACAACAAATGTTCATGCATTTTTGAGTGGCTTAAATCAGAACTTTAGACAAACAAAAACTTTTTAAAAAATAATAAGTCCCTTCTTGGAAAAAAAAAAGTGCAACCACTTTAAATCATCAAAAAGAGAATAGAAAGACAAAGAACATCTGAAGATATAATCTGAGATAAAATCCCTTTTCCTCTGTGTAAGTGCCCCTCTTTACAACCTTAATGAAGATCAATTTCATTCTTATTCAAAAAATACTTAAAGAGAAAACATTTTTAATTTTCAGAAATATATTATTCATTTATAGTGTTCCTTACAAAAAGAATTTAGGAACACAAATCAATAATCTCTAGGACTATGTTGTTATTTTGAATTGTAAAATTCACCATTTTTTTCCAGGACTTGGATGCTGTGCTTCCAGTAATGAAATGAAATTCAAGGCAACTGGTTCAGAGAAAGCTGGTTATAAGCATGATATAATGCTAAGAGTTGGCATTACTATTTGAATATGCTGACAGACTTTTTTCTCTTCCATTATCTGGATAAGCCTTCCATTTTACGTGTAGGTTACCATTATTAAAAATAAAGATATCAACCCTTTGTTGGTAGTAGTAATTTGTAGTAGAGAGCTGTGGTCATCTTATTTAACATACCTATTTATAAGTAAAATTTTAAAAGTGGTTATTAAATATGTCACAATTTAAATCCTGGGCTAGTTTCAATTTTTAGATGGAATAGTTTTTAACAAAACTTCACACTACAAGAAAAGTAAGATTCATAAATGTATGAGCCTGTTTGGGAACATTTATTCTTAGCTTCATTGTCTAGAAACAGTTTATATGGAAAAATGTTTAGCCAAGTTTGAATTATAGAATGGTAAGAATATAATTTAGGAAGAAAAAAGCATGTAAAATGTCCACAGATATGCAAAAATAATCCTATTTAGTCAGAAATATCTGCACTGCAGCACCAGTTGTGCTACTAGCTAATCCCTTCCTTCTTTGAAAATGAGAAGGAACAGATATTTCAGTAGGTAAAATAGCACACATACTAAAAGGAGCCTAAATTTGTAGAACAACCTGTTCACTTCCTTAGGATTCTGTCCAGAAAACACAGAGCTGTTTTTAATAACTCTAAAATGTTAGTGTTTAGAAAGCTTCTTTTGAAGGAAAATAACAAAAGAAATGACTACAGCACAGATATATGTATAGGCCTTTTGTTATTTTCCTACAAACTAAGGAAATATATATATTACATAAAAAATACATATGTTACATATGTAAAATGTTACATTAAAAAATACATATATATAAAATATATATACTTAAAGTCAGGATAGAGCAGGGCACATAGGGAATGGAGGATTTTGGTTTTCCAAGAGAAAAATAAAAGATATTAAGGTTTTGTCTTTAAGTTATACCAGGATAACATATTCCAGCAAATGCAATGATGGTCCCCAAAAAGCTATGTCCAAGTACTAATTCCCAGAAACTGTAAATGTAACCTTATTTGGAAAAGAGAGTATTTGCAGATGGAATTATGTTAAGGATTTTTAGATGAAGAAAACATCCTGGATTATCTGGGATAGACTCTAAATTGAGTGACAAGTGCCCTCATAAGAAACGCACAGAAGACAGACACAGAGGAGAAAGCCATATGAAGACTGAGGCAGAGGCTGACGTGATGGGGCCACAAGCCAAGGAAAGCTGACAGCCACCAGAAGCTGGAAGAGCCAAGAAATAGCATCTCCCCTTGGGAAGCAGCACAACTCTGCCAACACCTACCTAGATGTTGGATTTCCAGCCTCCAGGATGGTGACAGAATAAATGTCTGTTGTTTTAAGCCACTCAGTTTGTGGTAATTTATTAGAGTAGCCACAAGAAAAGAAGATAATGTGTATATACTGTATGTGTGTCTGTGTTTATAACACATATATGTATGTATATACTCATGCACTAAGACACTGTTAGTACCCCTTCACACATATCATATCACATGAGATTCCATTAAATGGAGTTGAAATTAATCTCTGGAATATTATGTCTTCAAGTTTAGCTTCTGCTATTTGTTGAATGTAATTGACATGCCACATACAGTGCTATGCCCTCTGGAAACAACAGTAAGTTAGACACCACCTATACTCATGAAGCATCCCAGTGGAATATAGACAAGTGAACAAACATCGGAATACATTAAGATAACTCTTTCTAGGCATGGATGCATGGGACCCCAAAGAGGAACATACAGCTCAGCATAGGAGGGGGAAGGAACAGAGATCACAGTGAGCTTCCCAGAAAAATAAACACCTAAAGTTAGTGAAACCTGAAAGATGAGTTTGCATGGTAGAGCTGGTACAATGGCATGGAGCATGGGTGTTGAAGACACAGGGGAAGAGCAGAGAGGGTTCAGGCTGAGAGGACAAAATATACACGAAAGAAGTTCTGCGAGATAGTAGTGGGTGTGAAGGAGGCAGGAGATGAGACTGGGATGTAGACAGAGAGCAGAGAATGATGAGCCTTGTAAGTCATTCTGAGAAGTTTATACTCTATCATGAGGGGATTGGGAGTCACTGGAGGGTTTTAAGCAGAAGGAAACATAAGGGCATTTTAAAAATTATTAAAATCACTATCTGTGGTGTGAACTTACATCAGGAAAAATTGGAGCCAGAGATACTTTTTATGAGGCAACAGCGGCAGCCCAGGAAAGAGATAAGTATGCTTTGGACTAAAGGAGTGATGCAGGGATGAACAGATAGAATATTTCCATGGAGTGATGAAGGGAGTCTAATAGAAAGGAATTGACACTTGGGTAAGTATGTATATGAGGAATAGAAGAGAGACATCTAGGTTTCTAACTTGAGCAATTGAGGGAATGGTAGCATTATTTCTCAATTCTGGAATGTGGACTGAGGGGCAGATCTTGGGGGAGGATATGATGAGCTCAGAGAAGGTGAGAATGAGAGCCACCCCAGTGGAAGAAGAAAAGCAATTGGATATGTTGGTTTGTAGCTCAAACCAGAGATACCTGGGTTAGAGATAAGGACTCGTAAGTCATCAGCCCATAGAGGATTGTTGAAGCCATAGGAGTAATTGGGAAATCCCAGAAAGAGCAAGAGCAGTAAAAATCAGGAGAGACACAGATGAAACTTGCAGGAATACAATGTAGAGACAGAGAAAGAGGAACCCCAAAGGTGACAGAATGAGTAGCCAAAGAAAGAGGAGGAAAACCAGAAAAGTGTCGTATTACAAAGGCCAGAGCAAAAGCATTTTATGAAAATAGGAGTGTGCAGCTATGTTAAATGCTCCAGAAAGTACTGTAATAACTCAGAATTTTCCAGAGCATTTATTGACAAGTTGATTGGTGGACTTGGTAAGATGTTGCAAACAGAGCAGGGGAGACAAAAGGCCAACTTCAGCAGGTTGAGCCATGGTGGGTGGAAAAGCGAAGTGAGTAGCAAGTGTGGTCAACTCTGGTATGTGATCTCACTGGGAAAGGGGAAAAAAGAGAAAATGGAGAATCTGAACATTTACTTTCTTATTAAGATGGAAGAGGTCTGCGATGCTAATAATCAGAGTCATCTTTTTAAAAAAAATAAATCAATATCCCTGATATTCATATAGACTTTATAATTTTAGAATAATCATGGAAAGGAATCTTAAAGGTAAATTAAATTGCCATCTATTACAGGCATCCTTCTCATAAAGTCCCCATTAGAGAGTCATCCAGAGACTTTCTGTGATAGGGGCTTACTGCTTCATAAGGGCTCTGGTTGTATTACTAGACAGCTGTGTCATTTAAAAAGCACCTTCCTAAAGTGGCACAAGTATGCCTTGCCATGATATAAAGGACCCTTAGTTCCAGTTCTGCCTTCTGGTACCATATGTGAATACAACCATTGTGTGTGCTTAGTTTTTCCAATCTGAGCCCTCCCTACCATCCAGGGTTCTCTGATCTGGGAGAATTCTCGTTTACGAATATCCATTTTAAAGATTAGTGCATCCAACTATATAATTAAAAGCAACATCTTAAATGTCACATTGTCAGTGCTGAATACAGCAGGACTGTCACTGCCTATGATCTGAATTTCCATTAACATAGCATGGGCCCATTGTCAAATAAACAGCTAAAAAAAATAAAAAAGAAAGCTGTATTTTGCCTCTGGTCCTGTCAAGTATGAGTTTAAGTTCACTGACTACCACAAAGAAACACTGAGACGACTTAATGCGGATAGATCCCTCTTGAGGTAGCTGATTGTTATCCTTGCAATGACCTGGTTATCATCTTTTTTATAAATCCAGTAGTCATTCTGGCTTTTTATAGCATCCACTTCTGCTACTAAGAGGTTGACTGTGGCACTCAAATCTTGCTTCAAAGGACTACAGCCTAATCTTGTCTTTGCTACTAGTACCTATGGCCATTGAGTAGATGATCAAGGGGTCACTTACTCTGTCATTAAAATATAATGCACAGGCTGTAAATAGTTTTCAATGTGCTTTTTATTAAGTATTTTATTGCCTTTTTATAGAAATAAAATATAACTTTTCAATACAGCTGCCTCTAAGGATCTAAATGTTAATGCCTTTTGAGTTAAGAGCCATTTTCCCAGGAATGCATCTGATGTAACAGGAAGTGTCATAGTAAATCACACTGAAACTTGAATATTTCTCCTGGATCCCATATCTTTGATCATTTTGATTTTACATTCCTTTATTAGTTCAACAAATAGGTAATGAGTGTCTCCATGTGCTGGGCACTGTGTTGGATACACCAGCTACAGCAGCCAACAAAACCCACAAGATTCCTATCCTTATAGGGCATAGCCCCATGGAGAGATGGCTACTGCCCAAGTCAACACACACACACACACACACACACCCCATTGTATAATATTCAGGGGTCGGGATGTGTGCTGTGACAAATGGGAATAGGGCATTCTGAAAAGTAAAACTAGGGCAGGGCAATGCCTAATTGGAAGAGTCAGAAAAGTGACATCAAGCTGAGAACTAAAGGGTGAGTAGGTGTTTCACTTGTTTTTGTTTATTGTGTTTTCCAGAGAAATGGTTGGGGAACAGCATTTTATGCAGAAAGAACACAAAAACACTCTGAGAGTCCTGAGGCTGTTTTCAACCTTAATTTTTCCCTAAGGCATTACAGACCTCTAAGGCATCTTGGTTTGATCCGTACAAATGTAAGACATAGCTATAAATTAGTGAATAAATTTTGCAGGTGTTAAAAATGGATTCTTTGGCATGCAAATAAACCCAGCCTCCTCAATCATATGTATGACAAGTCAACAATGTCTAGAGGTGTTAGTTCTTTTGAGGATGATAAAAGTACTATATCAATATTTGTTCATCTGCTGGAAACTGGCACAATTTTTTAAGATTCAGGATTATTTTGTCAAACAGCATGAATTGCTCTGACTCATAGGTCCTCTCGAGGTTAGAGTGTGGGAAATCCTTAAACAGAACTGGTGAGCAGTCAAAACTGAGACTAAGTTTCTCACCTGTATTTGCATTAATTTCACTTAAAAGCACTATTTTGTTCCCAATAATACCTGATGATGAACCTCCCGGAGGGGAGTGGAAAGCCCATTTCAGGAGAGATTCACTGATCAGACATTGAATATCTTGAGATCTGTCTTCAAGGCTTATGAATGCTGAATGTGAAATGGTATCACAGTGCTAGGGTAACCCTCTGTCTGGTTTGCCTGGGATTTTTTTGTAGTTTTAGCATGAGAAGCTCTATGTCCCAAGAAACTCCTCTGTCCCAGATAAACTGGGACAGTTGGTCACCAGACTACAATCAGGATTGGCTTCCTGGGAAGCCTGTGTCATTGCAGGCTGCCCAGCTCTTACATGAGTCCCATGCTTGGTTTAATGCTTTACTGTTGCTGTTTTGAAATTTGTAAATGTTTGAATAAGGGGTCCTACATTTTCCCTTCACTGGGCCCTACAATTTATGTAGCTGGTTCTATCTGGAACTAGCATTTATTGAGCTTTTACCTTGTATCAGGCCATGAATGAGTAATCTTATATTATTTCATCTAATACCTAACCCTGAAAGGAAGCTATTAATATACTAACTTTACAGATAAAGAAACTGTGGTTTGAAGATGTTAAGCCATTTAATAAGATAGTTAACTGACAGGAACATAAATTCAAATTAAGAACTGCCTGGCCCCAAGTGCCTCGAGTTTTCTGTTCTGCTGTGCAGAGGCTTAAATAGCACCCTGCAGTGGAGATAGGCACTATCAGGTTCCATCTTAGAAAGTTATTCATTTTGCTGATCCCAGATGGTCAAGTATTGGCAACTTTGTAGAGTTCGAACTGATGATAAACTATGTTAAAAATCGCCACTGCTTTACACATAAGCAATTCTCCCTCCTATCTTAGCCTTTCTACAATTTGTCTTTGACCCGGCAACTGACATTGTTTTTGTTGTTCATTTCTTCCTTTAGATTTCCCTTGAAATGAAGGTGGTATGTTTGCATGGGGCTTGGGGGAAAACAAGATCAGAATTCACAACTGGATTAAAAAAATTAGGCAAATGACAAAGTTAGAAAATGATTTGAGAGGAAGAGCTCCACACCCCCACCACAAAGCTAAGGAGGTAAAATGACCTTCTCTGACTTCTCCCTGGGTCTTCTTGTGTGTTCCGTTCACTCCCATCTCTAATAACAGTTTGGATGCAGAATCAGAATTTTCCATGGGACTTAACTATTGATGCTCTTTGGAAATATTGCCCTTTCCTCAACTACTGTCTTCCTTAGAGCAAGTAATAATTGTCCTTTTCTGAAGGTCCTTGGAGATTGAGAGAATATAGTTCCCACCTTTATTTTCATTTCTCATTTTATCTAGAAGCACCGTTCTATTTTCAGTTATTTCTGAAAGCTAACCCTGCAGTAATTGGGACAACCCATCCCTGTGACTGTTATCACTGTATCTGATTCAGTTCCAAGCAACCACCAAGTCCATGTGTGGTGTTCTTAGAACTGACCATCAAGGCTTCAAGATCTTCAAGAGATAGTCCACAGAGTCTGTAATCACTCACTGTCACGGGAGTTCTTCTACTTGCCTGATCACAGAAATCATCAGGCCCTCCACCTGTGAGTTACATGACCTTCCTGGAGATTTTGGTGCATTAATGATGGGGTGTGGTCCAGAATACAGAGAAGAGAACAAAGGCCCAGGGGGATCTTCTCAGGCAAATGTGAGAAACACTTCTAAAACCTTTTTCTGTATTTTATAGTTTTCACCTATTTTACTCTAAAACTGAAAATAAGAGACTCTCCTTTATTATTATGGTGGACTAGCTTTATAAAAATGCCAAAATACACATAATATATTCTTCACATAAATGACTGAAAGTAACTAGAAACAAGCTGACATTTGGGAGAAAGTAGGTTAATTATTAATTAAAAGAAAAGTTTTCAAGAGAAGAGATTCATATTTAAAAAGTATTCAGAGGTCATGAAGATCCCAGCACTGTGTGACAACTTGGGAAATAAAACATTGTCATTCACATGCATGAATGCATCCTTACACACACACCCTCTACTATATGACATGGGCAACTATGCTGCCTATGACCTAAATCCTACAAGACTGCTATTGGTGATAGTGTCAATAAGATGGAAACTTTCCAAAAAAGAAATATTAGCTGAGACTTTTGCCAAAACTAGGAGGTGGCATTAACCTTTTCATGCCCTTTGTACATAGTCAAATAAAACAAAAGTCATTTTTCATATACCAATTGTAATTGATAATGTTATGTTCTTATTGTATCAAAGGCCATAAAGCCTTTGAACACACACAAAAAATCTTAGTGTTGCTGGGCTTTGCTCCCCAAACTCCTGGGTTTGGGTTTTTTTATGTATATATCTCTATCTATTACTCTAACAAGTGACTGTTGAACAGCTGCCTTCCTCATCCTGCCTATGGGAGCTGATCATGCTCTACCTTCTATGCCAGAAACACTCTGGATGACATAGCCTATGCCTCTAATGAATGGGGAGAAAAAAACCATAGAGGTCAGGAACTATTCTGAAGGTCTCCTGAGGCGGTCTTTGCAATGCCAGTCATTTCCTTTATCAGCACACATTAACAAAAACCTTCTGGTGGGGGCTCTGAGTTGTCTGTATCAAGCAGTAGTTAAGAAAAAGTAAAGTGATTAATAGAAAATGTCTGCTAAAATTAGACTTTTTAACTGCTTCACTGACCTTAGGTGATAGCTTTAAGTAGGTCTCTCTTCTTTACAGACAAGAGAATATGACAGAACAAACCACAGTGATGACAAAATATAGTGATCCAGTGTGACTCTAGGTTTCAGCTTTCAGAGTGAAATGATGTCATTCCAAGAGGGTTTTCATTCTTGATTCTTTATAATCTGCACACTCCTTTACTTGTTCCTTTATCTGTCCTCCCCCCAGGGAAATATTGTGGCTTGGCTGGGATGGAATAAACTCTACTAAAGAAGGTAGAAGCTAAGAGTCTAGTGAGATGCACCTGACCAAACAAAGGATAGGCATCAGCCCATGAGAACAGTGTCTGGAATTGGTTAGTCAAAGGGCAGGTCGGCAGAGATACGAGTCCATAGGTTCCAACTAGAAGGTGTATCTATCGGAAATGTTCAGTAGGAAAGGGATATATAACGCATGGTCAGGGTATGTAATTTATGGATTTTTAAGCAAGAGACAATAGGTGATGATGTTAGAAGACAGGTGGTTGGCACTGGAATTCAGGCACAAGGAATCCAGCATTCATTGGCAGGAAATCCAGATAAGTACAGTCACTAGGCAACAAGGTTGGAACTCTATCTCAAGGCGAGGGATCAGTTACTAGGAAACTGGGGTACCTAAGTTAGAGAGAGATCAGCCTTCTTCACTGAAACATTAGAGATTACATACTCTATCCTCATTTTATGCAGTGTGCTAAGGAAGAAGATGTTTAAACCAAATCCTGGATATGCAAAGAAAATGTCAATCCATAAGGGCTTCTATACAAATATGTGTGTGTGTGTGTGTGTGTGTGTGTGTGTGTGTGTGTGTATTGAGAAGGCAAAACTCAATTCATTGTTTTTCCCTGGTTAGCTAATTACATAAGTCAAAAATTAATTGTTATACTATACATACAAACTTTCAAAGGAGTTAAGAAATACAACTCTTTATTATTGAGCAGCAGCTATTCATTATGAACATTTGTCCTTTAATCTAGTTGGTTGTTATGCCTTATCTGCCATGATACACCACCCAATATCACAGTTTTGCTTTGTGGGATCTATGCTGTCAGTCCTGGTTGTCAAAGCAACATCTCTAGAGATTTATTCCAGCAATCTAAGAAGAAACATGGAAGTCCTGTTTGTAGCACATAATTGAATATTTCAAAGTTCCTTTTGGATTCCCTTTTCATGTTTGCTTGCTGGTCAACTGAAATCCATTTTCAGGTCATAAATACAAAACTAAGAGCAAAAATCAGAGGCAGAGTAAAGGAAAAGGTGTCTACTGTGAATCCATAGAAGTGTTGATTATATATATACCTTATAAAGCAAGGAAACTCAATTTTTACCTTCTACATGGTTTTTAAAAATCCCCTGATTTTGGTCAATGATGTAAAATTCTTTCATATTCTTTAGTTACTAAATATTTCAGGTCTACTACACACACACACACACACACACAATACTTGAAAGAGAACTATTAGTTATAATAAATATCATTACTTTGTGTTTTCTTCTCAATGATTCAACATCAGTGGTTATCAAAGTGTGGTCCCTGGACCCAAAATAACATCACTCACAAACTCATTAGAAATACAAATTTGTGGACCCAGGCTTAAATTTACAGAACCAGACACTCAGGGGTTAGCGTGCAGCAATCTGTTTAATAACAAATTCTGATTCTGATGAATTCTTCAGCTTAAGAGCCACCATTCTACACCTTGCAGATGACTTCCAAATCTACATCTGTTTCCAAATGCATGATGAACACAGACTTAGAGATATAGCACAACCCAAATATCTCAAAATTCAATTTATCTCCTTGATAAAACCAGTTCCCCTTCCCTGCATTTCCTACCTTAGCTAACCAGAGCTGTCTAATTACCAAGTGTGTTCGTTGTCTACTGCTACATTAAAAATTCCCCAAACTTAGCAGCTTAAAATAAGAAACATCATCTCACAAACATCATCTCTGAAAGCTGGGATTCTGGGAATAGCTTAGCTGAATGGTTGAGGCTCAGGGTTTCCTGTGAGCTTGTGGTGGTCAAGATATCAGCTGGGACCACAGTTATATAGAGACTTCTTTGGGCTAGAAAAATGACTTTCAAGCTCACTCACGTGGCTATTGTCAAGAGGCCCCAGTTCCTTACCATGTGAGTCTAACATAGGGCTAATTACTAGAAGGCACCCACTTCTCCCAAGCAAATATTCAAGAATGGGAAACCAAGAAAAATAGGCACACTGACTTTATAACCTAATAGCAAAAGCCACATGTCATCACTTCTGCCATTGTTGGCCAATAAGGCCAGTCCTGTTATAACGTAGGAGAAGACTACACAAGCATGGGAATATCAGCAGGTGGGGATCATTGGGAGCCATCATGGAAGCTGTTAACCATGCCCAGCCTAGTAATACCAGGAGATTTCTAACTCTCTTACTCTCACTGCCATATAGAACCCATAGCCAAGACTTGTCAATTATTCAGTATCTTCCATGCCTGTCTCCTTCATTATAGTACTCTTGCCTACTCTTCTATCTTGCTGCCAATCGCTATACTCTTCCAACACTCCCTCTCACAGCTGAGTAACATTCCTAAAATACAAGCCAGGTTTGCCACAAAAGACCTTCTAAACCTCTCTGCTTCCTATCAAGCAAGTGAAGATTCCTTAGCATGACATTTAAAGTTTCCTCTGACCTAAGTATAATCCATCTTCCTAGGACCATTTCCCACTATAACTCTTCATTCTTCTCTCTACAGGCCAACGATTGGATAGCTTCCCTAAGTCTTTGTTCCTGTCAATGCTCCTTTGATATTATGTTTGTCAAGAATATCCTCTTCCTACTCGAAAGCCCAGATCAGATGCTGTCTTTACTGATAGTCCAGTCAGAATGAATTATTGTGATCCACAGCATTTTATACCTCCAATACAGAATTAGTTGCAAATTGTAGTTAGTTGTTTAACAGTCTTATTTCACAAATAGATTTTAATCTCCCCAGAGTTAGGGGTTTTATTTCAATTATGTTTATCATTATCAATACAGTATTAGGGTTCATCGAATTAAAATATATAATTTCAACAGGCCCTTTCATATGAGAGATGATTCACACTATTCTCAACAATGCAGAGGAAAGGTAAGTTAAGAGTGAAATATTCAGGACTATTCCCCTAAAGAGTAGCCCTTCCTGCAAAGCTTCCAGGTGGACAAATAGCCTAAAATATCTAGGCTATCTTTTCACTTGGAAGACTTTTCCTACAGACAGATGGGACAGTCTCCTTTTACAATGGAACCTAGAAATGTGCATGGAGATAGAAGTGGTGAGAGTTCATTAGCCTGGTTTATAAGCACTTATCTAGGGTGATGGGAGCCCCTAAAGGGATTTTACAAGGGAAGTAGCTGATCAGATTTTTATTTGGAGGAATTGCCTCTGACGGGATCAATTACAGGCTGCCTGTCTGAATTGGAGGGGTACATAAGTCAAGCTAGGGGTTGATGGTGGTACACTCTACAGTGAAGGCAGAAGAGATGGAGAGAAGAGAGTTGCCCCAGAAGTGGCCAGACATGCTGATTGATGACTGATTGTGAGGGAGAGAGCTGAAGGTCTGGAATGATTCCCAGGTGAGGATTTTGTGCCTGTGAATCCGGATCTAGGATCAGCACTCAGTGGGGAAAAACACTCAGAGCATGAACTTTGCACAACATGGTACCAGCATCATTGTCATGTATGGAGAACAGCCCATTCTGGAGGGAGGCCACAGGAGCTATGGGGAAATTACACTGACCTTTTTTCACAAATGAATAGGCTCAAAATTAGATTCTTACACTGAATGACTAACAGGAAAGCTATTAAACTGTCAGACAAGAGCTCTCCCTGGTTTTTATGAATTACCATGATTCATTGTTCCAGGGGAAGGAGCTGAGCAAGAATCATTTCCGCTGCTTCTTAGGAGTTTCTGAAGGATCACACACTAGAGCGTGAAAGCAGGAAGACTGATTCATAATGACAGCATCAAAGATCAAATCAAACATCTAAACACAAAGTGTGCATGGTTGATATGTAATTATCAGCCATGTCATGAGGTTTTTAATCAATCAACTTGATTTTTCCGCTTAGTATTATACATGCCCTTTCATCTGAAGGTAGGGATGCTAGAGGTACAGAAGATAGCCACACATAACACAAAATCTTTCTAATT